AAGAGACAGGGTCTATCCACCCTCAACCGCTACGGCTTGGCACATGGACAGCCAGGACAGCCCATCGACGAGACTTCATTCAACGCATTCTTTGAGGGCATCGCTGGTGTGGGTCAATCCTTAAAGACCCTATCAGCTGCCAGGAACCTACTGTTCGAGGCGCACGTGTTCATCAGTGCTAGTCTCAAAAACCGAGTTGAAGCCACAGCCGACACTGCCAAGCCAGTGCCAAGGGCCGAGCGCAGCGCTAGGTTGGAAAACCTCAGGACTAAGTACCCGGCACTCGAGATCTCCAAGGCCCTAGAACTCGGAAACACCATGCTGGACTCCGCTTCACATCAGGCGGAGTCCAAGATCCTAAAGTACATGCCACCTTCAAGGTGTGCCTCCAGAGAACAAGAGATGATGTCCAGCAAATCCTCCTCCAAGCTATTGGAGATCGAGGGCTCGCAAGTTAAGGTGAAAGAGAACTTCATAGAGAACAACACGGAGTTTCTTGTGTACCAAGCCCTCAGGAGGCGAGGCCTCGCATATGAGTTCGCAGATCTGGTTACCTACACCGTCCATCAGCGCTGGGTGGATTGGCTCTTCTCCGAGCTTTCCAAGGAGCAACCAGCTAGATTCCAGAAGGTGCAAATGTTCCAGATCCTCCGAGCAGATAAGGCTATGGTTGCACATGGCGGATGTGGTGAAAGACATCAGGCCGTCAGACGGCGCGAGGCCTCTCGACCTCGAGTTCGCAAGGCTGCCCACAGTTCACTCGGTCGTCTTTGCGCGTCTCCCCCTGCAACAGTTTGGCCCCAAGGGCTCGGACCAGAAAGGAGACAAGGGAGGAAAAGGAAAGAATGGCAAAGGCTGGAAGGGCAGTCGTCCATCTCCCTACGACATGCCCAACCGAGATACGTGGTTCAGCCGCCCTGGTGGCAAAGACAGCGGCAAGCAGGGCAAAGGAAAATTCAAAGGCAAGGGCAAGAGCCAGCACGGCAACGCCCAGTGCGACAGAGGATTGCACATTTGTTCCGAAGTGCCTTGGATCGCATTCTTACAACAATTGCCCGCAAAGGCAGGCCAACTGACCCTTGTGAGAGGCCCCGCCTTTCTCCAGATATAGGGGGCAAAGTTTTCCAGTCATGTCTTTCCCTCGAGCTCTTCGCCGGGTCAGCTGGAATGACGGCTGCCATGAAGAACGTGGTCCACCGCCCATGACAGGTTCTGTTCTCTGCATCGGGCGCAAACCTGTGTCACGAAGTTGTACAGCTCGTTGGCCTGCTGCACGCGAGCCGCCTCGTGATCTTGAAGGCCTTGTAGGCCATCTGGGAAAGCCTCTGATCTAAGAGGGCGTGGCCCGTGGGCGCCAGGGCTCATAGCGATGTCTCGGGCCCTTGAACAAGTTCCGCACGGCGGAGCCATCCAGACAAATACTAACTGATCTGAACTCAAGATTTGAAAAATAAGGTGCTGAGAAGCCTTAAGTGAAAGGTCCAACCTTATCACCGGGCCCTTACGCGAAGGAAGGAGAAAACTGTCGATGCCAAAACTAGCTCACGCGCAGTGTGATCCGAGATATGTTCACTTTCATTCTTGCATGTATGGAAGCGAGCGCAAAAAGTTCACAACAATAGCCTACCTAGGAGTGGTCCCACTCGAAGGACTCCATAAAGAATGTGACAACAGCCACCACCATAAGCCGTGGGGCTGGTCGGAAGAAGATGGCGCATTCTCCACCTCCATGGAGTCGGCCTACCCGGCAATGTTGTGCAAGCAGGTCGCACACACAGTTCGCGACGCTTGCGAGGCAAGGGGCTTTCTTATGTGCCCCAAAGACATGCTGGAGGCATTGCAGCAGCCACTCACGGCGGACAAAATCTCGCGGGCCATAGCCGCGGAGGGTACTACGAAGTCTAATCTTCCGAACTTCGTCCCCGAGTACAGGGTCATACTCCGGGCAATCGTTCCTTGGTCATCCTGCGCATGGAGCCTCAAGGAATTCATTGAATTTCCCGCGGTGACGCCGCAGGTCACGATTCCGGCAGGCTCCAGACTGCTGGAAATCTCCCAACGAACAAAAGGGGAGAATGTTTCGATTCCAGCAGAAGCGGACACGGTCTGCACCTTTGGCGTGCCTTGGACCCCGAAAGAGTTTGTTCAAGAGGCAGCCCGAAGAGGACATCCTGCAGAGTCGATCTCTGCGGTCCCGGAATGAAGAGAGCCATCTGGGAGCTCGCGGCCCAGGATCCGTCGGACGTTGCAGAGAAAAGAGCGTCTTTCTTTCGCAAGTGGATGTCTGTCGCGTCAGAATTGTATGAAGAGGAGAAGACACTTAAAGAGTCGATGGACGAAGGCCTAAGGTCGGTCGTCAAAGAAAAGAAGATCTTGCTCTTTAAGAGGATGGTCGAAGAGCGCGAGCTCAACGACACAGATTCCCACAAGCTTTTGGCCGAAGGTGTCGACCTCACGGGGGAGGTCCCGATGTCGCACGATCTGCCGAAGAGACACACTCCGGCCACAGTGTATGAAAGTGAGCTGGAGGCCCTAGCCCCTATCCTCAAGGACGCAGCCCTGTCGAGAGCGTTAGGCGCAGCGGACGACCTCTCCAAGGAGGTGTGGGAGAAGACCATGGTTGAAGTCTCTAGGGGTTGGCTCACAGGACCCATGGAACCGGACGACTTGGAGGCCCCTTCAATCGTCTCGAACCGATTTGGGGTAAAGCAGAAGGATAAGGTCCGCTGCGTGGATGACATGTCGGCCAGCATGATAAACGCTACCACCTTTGCCGAGGAACGAATTTCGCTTCACTCTGTCGATGTTATGGCCTCTGCAGTGGTCGAGTGGTGGGACGCTAGGGATGCGGCTCAAAGATCCAGAGACCTGACAGCCAAGAGTTTCGATCTGAAATGGGCCTTTAAGCAGATGGCCGTGTCAGCAAGTTCACGAAAGAAAGCGGGCCTCGTCATCAAAGATCCTTCTGGATGCCCAAAGGTCTTCACTTCACTCGCGCTCCCGTTTGGAGCGACGCAAAGCGTGTATGCCTTCAACAGGCTGAGCAGATGACTTTTGCCTGTTTTCGGAGCCTGCCTTGGAGAGAAGTTCTGACTTGGCGGCGAGGTCCCTTTTCGACCTCCTGGGATGGGCGTACGATACCTCCGGGGAGAAGAACCCCGTTTTCGGTAGGACGCTTCATGCTCTAGGCGTCAATGTCAACCTGAAGCAGCTCACCAAAGGCTCTCTGCTTATCAGCAACACCGAAGCGAGAGTCAGCGAACTCGTTAGTGAGATTTCGGACATCTTAGAGAAGGGGAGGATCTCGAGATCAAAGGCACGACACATGGCAGGACGAATGAGTTTTGCCGGCGGACAGATATTCGGCCGACTCCCGAAGTCCTGTCTGAAAGCTTTCTACTCTGTCCTTGAAAGGAGTGCTACCACAATCGACCGGGGCACGGCAGCAGCGCTCCAAATGTACATGGACATAGCCCAGTATGCTCCCGCCAGGACGATTCCGCTTGGTCCAAGGCCGTGTGTCTTCATTTACACGGATGCATCGCTTGAACCGACTAAGGAAGGTAACGTCGCAGGTCTGGGCGGAGTTCTATGTGGTCCTTCTGGAGAGCCTCTGAGGTTCTTCTCGTACTTCCCCAAGTTGAACGAGCTGGCCGAGGTGGGCATCGATCTCAATTCTCGTTGCATCTTCTTGCTAGAGCTAGCTGCGGTTTGACTCGCTTTGAAAGCATGGGGCGATGCCCTCCGAGGAATGAGGGTCGTTTGCTATTGCGACAACGAGGGAGCCAAAGCCTGTCTCATGACCGGGGCGAGCGCCAACAAAGTGGCCAACGACTTGCTGAAGTTGCAAGCGGCACACGAACTCAGGACAGGAACCGTCCCTTGGATTTCAAGAGTTCCCTCGAAATCGAACATAGCGGACGATCCTTCGAGAGAGCTGCTGAAGGCCCTTCCAGGCTTTTCCAGTGCAGAGAGGTCCACAGTCAGCGTCGGTCTCTTAACAGAAGGGGAAAAGTCTCTCCGCTTCCAGTGATCCAATCTGCCGGCACAAGAACCGGTGTGACGCCGGGACAAGGACTGGTTCTCCCCATCTGGACAAAAAGAAGAGTGCCATGCATCACAAGCTACATGATTGAAGTTTGACTCGCATGAGATTTCTTTTCATAAATAAGTTCCTGATGCTTTACAGATTCGAAATTTTCTGACGGTCCTGTGAGTGATAAGCCTACGTGCGAGGGACGAGTTAGTGTTTTATCACGACCATGGAAAACAAACAAGGAACGAGTTTGTTTAGTCAGAAACCTTCAGCCTGTGCATGAGAGACGAGTCTACGCATGTGACCGCTGCTCAAGTCGGGAGTGGGCAGAAAATTTCGAAAGCCCGCCCGCCCACGCCAGGACAAATGACTTACGGACTACAGGAGGTCTTCAGATTACCAGGAGTGTGGCAAGCGACACAAGAATTTCTATACGCTCGTCGCCAACGACGACTCAGTGTATCGTGTAGGGAGTTCCTCGATCGTCTGAGGAATTGGACATCAGTTCTGGTTCAGGTCCCACCAAGAAGATGTGAAGATTACAGCGATGACGACTATGGAGACTTCTAGATCTCCACTTCGGTTGACGCCTAAGTCTGCTTACATCTCAGAAGAAGAACGGGTAACCTTTGTCAACCTGTCAGGCTGCAATCTAAGGTTGAACCGCTGAGAGGGGAAAAGTCTCTCCGCTTCCAGTGATCCAATCTGCCGGGACAAGAACCGGTGTGACGCCGGGACAAGGACTGGTTCTCCCCATCTGGACAAAAAGAAGAGTGCCATGCATCACAAGCTACATGATTGAAGTTTGACTCGCATGAGATTTCTTTTCATAAATAAGTTCCTGATGCTTTACAGATTCGAAATTTTCTGACGGTCCTGTGAGTGATAAAGTATAGTGTACCCCAACACTCCTATGGTACAGGTTTGCGGAGGTCCCATGACTTGAAAGACCGCCGGTTCAAAGGACATCGACACTTTGGGCACTTTCAACATGTGCCGCAGCGCCTTCGAGCCACTGACCCTCGACAGGCGATGCAGTTTATCATGTGGGTTTAGGGTTCAGGTTGTAGGTTGTAGCAGCATTTTGGATGATACTGTATTGTGTTGTGCTGCATTGTATTGTCTTGTATCGTATTGTATTGTAGTCTCGGCATCTTAGAAAACCTCGAAACGAAGGGCTTAGGCTTCAGGCTTTGTGGGGTTGGTGGTCATGTCTACGCAACCCGAGTCCGTGACTTACATCCCGAACGTTCACCCAAGACAGGGGGCGAAACGTTTCCCCCCGACGCCCAGGAAGTCCTCTCGCTTCGGGGGGGTTGTCGTCAGCATTACCGCGACGCTTCACTACACATCCACATGGCGCTGTGGACTGAATTTTCAGGGCTTTTGTTTGATTCGGTGTTTCGGAATCCTACTAGTTCGAGGGGGGACATCAAAAGAGCTAACGCCTCACTCCGTTCAGTCCTCATGTTTCTTTGTGCTTCAGAAGGAATGTCTCGAAGTCACTCCTCGTCGCTAGGCACATCTGAGGAGCAGATCCCTGCAGTCAGATTTATGGCAGCAGTTCCAGTCTGATCTTGGCACAAGGGCTCTACGAGAGTGTGCAGTCTGCTTTTAGGAGTGGCTGGCTTCTCGAGAAGACCTGTTCTCAGTTTTCAGGATTCCCTGAGACCCTTCATTTTTAAATGTTTTGCAAACCTGAACCCCAAGATCCACAGCACCGAAAAATTGAAATCCACGACTCCGCGGCCCCGAAACCTGCAGCCTCAATCCTACAGAATGGTAGGATATGACCTCCGTGATTGCATGTTTATTTTGGGATCCTATAGTAACTCGTATACAACTCTGATAGTCACCTATGTAGAATCCTTATACTCAACCTTATACTACCCTTTCGTCATCCACCTTACCCTGGACTCCTGAGCCCACCCTCAACCCTACACCTTGAACTAAACCTTAAACCTTAAAGCCCTAAACCCTAAACCCCCGGTTCAAATCAGGTACCAGGCCGCTCCGGTAGCAGCGAAGGCGGCCATCGACGCTCTCACCCGCACTCTGGCGCTGGAGTGGGGCCTCTTGGCTGTAGGGTTCTCCTTTCGTCTTCGGGGTTTAGGGCCTTGAGGGTGGAAGCTTTAGGTTTTCAGAGTTTTGGAGTCCGGGATCGTACAGTGTTGGGTTGTAGGCCTTTGGAGTTCTTGAAATTTCCGGGTGTCGGGTTTGGGGTTGGGGAACTTCGGGCTTCGGAACCGGAGGGCTAAGGGGCAGAGGGCTCCATGATACCCTTGGGTAGCTAGTCAGTGCGTTTGTTTAACGCCCCTGTACTACAGTCAGAGACTGAGATCCTCCAAATACTTCAGTACAACCCTTGACGACTTCAAGTTCTGAGGAATGTTTTGGGCCTGGCACCTTAGAATTAGAGCCCCGATGCACCATCCAGCGGAGGGCGGTTTCAGCTAGGGTTGAGAGGTTTGGGGTTGCCGTTGAGGGTATGGTTGCAGGTTCCGGGGTGTAAAGCTTCAAAGTCAAACTGAAAACCTTCAATTCTACGACTAAGACCTCTGCGGACTATGGCAACCCGACAGATGCGTGCTTTCTGAACAGTATAGAGGTCTGACTGCACTTAGTAGTGCTATCCCCTTTGCAGTTTCTTCGTAATGACACTACACAACCTTCCACAAAGCCAAATTCAAATCAAGTAATGAAGGCCCTTAGACCAAGCATGAAGCCCAAGCCGCAGATCCCAGCCGCTCCGTAGCAGAGGTGAATATGGAGTGCGGTGCAACTGTGTAGCCCCGGGTCCCATTGCGGACACCCCCGGAATGGAGAAGCTGAGCGGAGGGAAGATGGACAAGGCGAGAGCTTGAGAGAAGCAGTAATTAGTTTAAAAAATATATACATACATAATTTTATATCTTAGTATATAGTTAGTGTGTATGTATATATGCATATACATATATATATATATATGTATGTATGTATGTATGTATTTGTGCCTTGTCAAGATTGGAACAAGACCCTAAACCCGAAGCCCTGGACTCTACCCTAGTAGAGGTCTTGGCCCTCTGAGCCTTGACCCCACTTTCACCGTCAACCCTACACCGCTGCAGCGGAGCCTTGTGCCATCAAACCCCCTGAGCACCTGCCCTTCCAAATCGGCAGCGTGAGCCTTTTGCACTTCCGTCCTAAACCCTAAACCCTAAACCGTAAACCCTATACACCTTCAACCCTAAACAGAAATACTGATCATTAAACCCTAACCATCCTTAGCCCTTGGGCTTGCTGGACTGCGGTTTTCTCTTAAGGGTTTAGGTCCTTATAGGTATATTTGCCATGACTGCCTAGGATGTCTCCCGAAAGCCTCAAGCCAAGCAGCTCGCCTCCGAATCCCTTCGAACTCTCCTGCGCCCCGGGGCCCATCTAGAGAAGTCCGGGAGCCGGAAGCTGGAGCCGAAGTGCAATGGCCCCAAGCCCTGGACCAAACTTGTCTAGCGAGTTTCTTGGAGCGTAACCTAGTACTTAAATGCACAATACCATAGCTTGAAAGCCCATAGAGTGAGGATCTGGTAAACAGCCCTGTCACATAGCGGGAATGCTCTGAGCCCGTGCACCTACCCCCCAAACCCCCTTAACTAAGCCCTAAGCCCGCATGCAAACCCCAAAGCTCTTCGACCCCGGCTACCACCAAGCCTTTGAGGTGGACTTGAGCCATATTCCAGCCAAACGAGCTGGCACCAAAGCAGCTCCTTCAGCTGGTGAAGTAAGCCCGGTTTCAATTGAGGGTGGGTTTAGGTTTTAGGGTTGAGGATGCTGGAATACATGCAGCTGAACCCTACCCGATTGAGGCTTTGGGTCGAGGACTTCGGTTCCGCAGGGTGGTTTGGGTCCTACGGGCAGGCAAGGATCCCTTCCCACGATTTTTGAGTTTGGCTTACACCATCTATCGACTGCAAGCAGGAAGACTGTAAGAGCATATTCTAACTCCGATGCTAGCCGCTGCTAACTTTGGTGACGTGTGTACAAGAGTTACGTTTGTTTTTCTTGCTTCTCTGCCACAGAATTGCCACCAGTTCATTCGTCCTTGAAGCGTCAGTCAGGTCGAGGGCCTGGGGTTGTCCTGCAACGAACTGAATCGGGGTTCCCTTCGTCCGGATGACAGCCTTGAGCAGCATCCCACCATGCTGTTTGCTGTGCCATCGTCGTGAAGCCCTAAACCGAATGCGGGGGCTGTGTGCTGTCTATGTACCCCGCTGTGGAATCTCTAGCCGCATCTTGGTCAGGGGGAATTAGGGTGTAGGCTGCGCTTAAAAAGAAGCCTTGAGGAGATTGCTGCTGCTTGCATCTTCCTCTGCCTCAACAATTACATCACGGGCCAGATTCTGCCGGTGGACGGTGGGGAGTGGTATCCTTGTCTGAACGAGGGCCCCCTTTCGGGTTCCCAGATTACAGGGTGCCGTGTTAAGAGTCGAAGTACATGGGGTTTCCGTAGGACTACACTTGTGTCCTGGTCCAAATGTGTGCACCTGCTCGGACCAGATGTTTCGTTACGGAGACTTCACGGGAACGTGCCCTGTATACTCAGAGGTGCTAGGCTTCCGGGTCTGGGCTCGGGAGATTGTGGTTGAGGGGTGAACATTTTTCAGGCTTGGGAGTCTGTTTCTAAGGAGCAAGGCTGCGGTTTTGGGGCTTTTATGGGTTTTGAGGTTTAGGGTTTGAGGGTTTTGAGGTTTTGGGGGTTTAGGGTTCATGGACTTCGGGGTTGAGGGCTTGGGGCGCAAGGGCTTACCAGTTTGAGGAACCCTTGGCCAACAGGGCCAGGCACCGTGAAAGTGCTGGCAACCTAGTGAGCCCAAACTCGAAGCCCCAAGCCTCTGGAATCCGAGAACCATGAATGGGAACCTTCCAGAGTCCTTGCAAAACACAACCCTGAAACCCTCAACCCTAAACCCTAAACCCTAAACCCCTACACCTCTAACCCCTAAACCCTAAACCCTGATATTGAAAATAAGACTCCGTAGACAGTTTTTGTCGCCCTTGAGGTTCGGCAAGAAGCCTGTCATCCCCCGGGAGATGGTCTCCAAGATCTCTCGGGGAGTGGACGCTCGGATGGATAATTGTCATTCTTCTGGAATGATTACGATTGTTAGTATCATCATACATATATACCTCTGCATACATACATACATACATACATGCATGCATGCATGCATGCATGCATGCATGCATGCATGCATGCATGCATGCATGCATGCATACACTCTCACACACACACACATATATATATATATATATATAGATAGATAGACGCAAATGCATGTGTTGTTGGTTTCATTTTTTTTCTTGAGGGGGGGTGTGGGCCTTCGGGTTCAAGGTTGCTGTTCAGGGTTTTGGGTTTGGCTCTTGAAGCTTCGAGTTTCGGCCTCCGGCTCCCAGGAGTATCCAGGAGTTTGCGGGTCCCTAGGACGGTAGGCCCGGTACCCCTCAGGACTGAATTGAGATGCATTGTTTTGACTTTGTTGAGTGTTGTTCTGTCAAGCTGAGGACATTACAGAAGAAACTCCAAACTAGACGCAGTTTTTGGCATCCGCCCGTGTCTGAGCAGCAGCTAAGGAGAAGCAGTCGAGAGCGATGGGTCCTGGGACGGCAAAGCTTTGAGGCCCACGCTCACTGCCATGTGCATAAAATTGATCGTGCCGTATAGTACAGCGTAGCGTACGTAGGGTTTCACCTGTCGTTTCACCTACGCGTTTAGGCTCAAGGTAGCTTAGAATTTTTGGGAAGCCCGGGAGCTGCGCAAAGCAATGGTCTGGGTCCCTGGCAGGGCCTTTGCGGGAGCTGCTTTCTTGGCAGCCTCCTCCTTGGAGCGGACCTCTAACACAACCACCACGACTACTACAGTCTCGCTTCCCCCGATCCACCAGGACAGGTCCAGAACTTTTGGGGCTCTCTTGGTCTCCCTTTAGAGGAAACTGGAAGGAAGTGACAGAGGAGGCAGAGGAGGACCCAGAAGCTGGAGGAGTATTGTCTGGGAATTTTTAGCTTCAAGGTGATGCTGCTTTGGGAGTTCTGCGGCACCTATGCTAAAGCATATTGTGGTCCCCTCTGCTCTTCAATTGGTTTCGCAAGTCGCTGGACGTACTGGCTTATGGTCGGAATGGTAGGGGTATTCATGATTCAGCTGGGCGTCTGGACGTACACCTGGGTTATTTTTCCCGTCATGGTCCACCCGAGGGCCTTGATCCACTACTGCAGGGGAGAGGATCCTTGGAGCGAAGTTTCAAGGCTTTTGGGAGAACGGCTATTTCGGGCCCATGCGCAGGAGAACCCTGGTCGGTTGCCTATGTCCAGACGGAAGTCAGATGGCGGGGAGTCAACCGCTTGCCTTTCGACTTACTCGTCACGAACGGAACTGCCATCGCACGACTGCGTCACGGCACCGTACGAGGTCGTACTAACCGCCATGGGTTTGTTCCAGCATAGATATTTCCTTAACCTGCTTGAAGCGGCGGAGTGTCGGGTACAGTTTTGTGCCCAGCTAGCTTGCACCACCGAAGATGAGCAAGTTCACGTGGGCACGAGCGCCGCGGTCTCCCAGTCGCAGGAAGTCGATCTACAAGATTTAGCCGGGCGGGCCTTGGGCCAAATTCGCAATCCTCACCTGGTTCCGCGGCTGTCTGTGGTGCGTAGGCATCTCGTAGGCTTCTCACCGGCGCAGTGCGTTGCCTGTGCCGATTGTGCTGCCTAAGGAACCCGCGGCGCGGTTCGCGCCCGGGCGCCGGGCACAGGCCCCGAGGCACGAGGACTCAGAAACAGGGTCCGAGGTCGACGAGGGTGACATGTGTCAAGCTGACCAAGTCGGCCTTGACATCGGTTCGGTATCTCCAATGCCTAACTACTGCAATCCAAAAAATGCCATAACCCTGAACGAGCATGCCTGAATGTCGCCGCCTGAGATGCGCTGCAGTGTTGGTTGACGATTCATGGATTTTGATCTTGCCGTCGAACCCCAAGCCCCTAAACCCTAAGGCCTTAAGCCCACCCTACTCCGAAACTTTGACCTCCTAAACCCTATAGAAGCCCTCAAACCCCAAACCCTACACTTGATTGAGGCTGAGGTTTGAAAGTTGGAGGCGGAGGGCACAGTTCTTCTCACCTGCGACATTCCAGACACTCTTTCTCTCCGGGCTTGCGGTTGGTACAGCGGCCTAAGTCTCTTCTAGTAACTTTTGTAAAGGGCCCTCTAAAGGAGCCTTTTTCCAATTATTCAAGTCCCTAGAGCCTAACCCTTAAACCCTACAACTTAGACGCTCCGACAAGGTTCTGTCCGGTTGTGCTGCTAGTGGTTTGGTGATGGGGGTGCCTCAGACTAGACGCACTAAAACCCTACGCTATCCCGCAAAGCCCAAGCCTACTCTGGGTGCCGGGACTGTTGGGCAGTAGTGCTACACTTCAGCTCGCTATTTAGCATGGTCGTCCAAGAATCTGAAACCTTACACCCGAAAGCCTTAATTTCTAAACCTCTACACCGTAAAGCTTAAATCCCGAACCCTTAAACCCTAAACAAGATTCGAAAACAGCAAAACTTTAAAGCACCACGCCCTAACGGAACCAAGACATCACCCCCATGTATATGTGTATGTTTTGTAGATGTATATGTATATGATATGGATATGTATATGTGTATGGAAATGCATATGGATATGGAGATGTTTGTGGATATGTCTATGTCTACATCTATGTCTATTTCTGTGTCCATGTAAACGTACACATGTATCCATATGTTTATGTAAATGTATATGTATGTTTCTACCGTATATGTACATGTATATGTACTTGTATGTGTATAGGTATATGGCGATGTAGTGTCTGTATACGTATATATACACATGTATATATACACACACATAAATACATATAGTAATCCCAATTCTCACAGTATTCTTGGAGGGTTCCTCGACAAGCCAAAACGTCCAGGACTGCGGCTCGCTGGGACGTTCTGTCGGAAATGCTATGTGCAGCAAAAATGCAGAAGTCGTTGTTTCGGGTTTAGGGCTTTGCTTTAGGGTCTTAGGGTTTTCAGGTTTAAGGTTTTACGGTTCAGGCCCGGGGGGGTTTTAGTGTTTTGGGGTTCTTGGGCCCAGGGTTGGAAGGGGAATGTTTGCGATAGTACAAGCGCCTGGTTATGATCAGACCCTATGAGGGCCAGCTGCCGACTCGACTGCTTGCGCTTGTGAATGGAACGTAAATATCGCGAGTGTTTCGGGCTTTTCCGAAGCATGAAGCAGGCGAACATGTCGTGAACATGCATGCTGCAGTCTGTGTTTTCTGTCCGGTTGCTGTTCCGGCTTCTAGTTTGTCCTGCTCCTCACTGGATCCTCATGATGTAAGTTATGTCCCTTAGCGTAGCCCATTTTTACTGGCATGTTCCATCTCTGGGCAGTTTAGGGCCTTTCAGCGAGATCCATGATGACGTGCTTCTTGCTGCCGTCCCTTGCGCTGACTGCTGCCACTGCTGCAGCAGGGCCAGTGCAGCTGGACCTGGCTAACTGGATGGGCCAGTTGGGTCCCATTCTGGGACGCTTTGCACACACACACACATATCAGTTTCCATCTTTATAAGAAAGGTTAGTTTGTGTGAAATCTGGTTCCGTGTGGTCTGCGACTACCACATGGTTGTTTCTTTTTGGGATGTCAGCTCTTCTGATTTATTTTTTTTGAAATTTCGCTGGGCAGCAACATCGACTTGGACACGGGAACCATTAATCCCAGGAGCCTTAATTCCGATGCTCATACCCGTTCACGACTCGGAGCCTTAATTCCGATGCTCATACCCGTTCACGACTGGGCCTAGACACTCACCTCCCCTCTCTTCTCAGAAGCCCCTCTCAACCCTACATCCTAAATCCTACACCCTACACCCTAAACCCTACAATGTACACCCAACGCCCTGAACCCTGAGCCCTACTTCCCAGACTGACCCTAAACCCTCCGCTAAAAGAAACTCTAGGGTTTACGAGTTGAGGCCTTGGAGCCCCCAAAAAGCCCAACACCCTGAGGAGCCCTAGGAAGGGCCTCAAGGGCGAAGGTCGGTAGGAGTCAGGAGGCCTTTGTATGAATCCTTCTATCTTGGATTCCTTACCTAAACCCTAGTCTGTAAGCTAGAAGCTATAAACTGCTTTGAGTTTGGATTCTCACCATCTTAGTGTCTGATCATCGGGGGGAGGGTCCTCTGATGGAATTCCATGCCCTACACGTGTAAAGCCCATTTTGGCTTCAATCATCTCGCCCTCAACCCTAAACTCTCAACCCTCAACTCCTACAACCTCAACGCCTACACCCCGAATCCTCAACTCCTAAAGCCCAAGCCCTCAACTCCTACACCCAAAAGCCCTGAACCCTAGACTCCTAAGCCTCAAAGCCCGAAAGCTTCAGCCCTCGACTGGAGGAGATGCGACGCTGCTGGACCTGACTCTTCCCGGAACCCACGACTCGATGACTTACGATTCCTGTCGAAGGTTTCATAGAGCCTTTAGGGCTTTTAAGGCTTTCTTTGCGGGGGTTCTTAGGGGGATGTTTTACGGTCGATGGTTTCACAGAGTTTTCGGGCTGCGGGCTTGAAGGTTCCCAGTCTTTTTTTACAGGGTTTTAGGGCTGTTCAATGTTTAGGGTTTAGGGTCTGGGTTTTTGGTTAGACTGTTAGGGTTTTGGCGTTGAGCGGTTCAGGGTTTGAGGAAGTCGTTTTTTCCGGCCTTATGGTCAGGGTTTCAGGGTTTTGTGTAGTTGTGTGTGAGGTGTAGGGCATTTCAGGGTTCATATCGGGAAAGGGTTTAATACACCTTTCGACGCTTCAACTTTTCCTTGAAGAGCATCTGAATCGCTTAGCCCTAACCCCCAAACGGCCCTAAACCCTAGACCCCTAAACCCCAAATGGCCCTGAACCCTAAACCCCGAACCCAGGGAGTTCAATGAACTTTCTTTTGGGGGCATGGGAGGGCAGTTTCAGTCTCCAACTCGGCTCACCCCTAAACCCAAAACCGCAAACCCGAAGCCCCAAACCCTCCCCGAGGCCTTCCTGTTTGCAGGCTTTAGGGGTTTCGGGGTTTAAGGGTTTAAGGGTTTAAGGGCAGGGGTTTAGGGTTGAAGGGTTTTGGGGTGTTGGGGTGAAGGGTTTAGGGGTTTAGGATTTAGGGATTTAGGGTTGAAGGGTTTTGGGTTTAACGGTTTATTACTCTAAACCCAGAGGTTTCAGGATTCAAAGCCCGAAAGCTCGAATGGTTGATTAACTAGTACTAGTTTACCCTATAGTACAGGGTTTAGGGTTTAGGGTACAATACTGTCTATGTGTACAACACCCCACGACGCTATTCTAGTTGGTTACAAGCCTGTACTGCCCAGTTTATCGTTTATGGTGTGGGGCTTACTTTACGAGCTGCAGAAGACTCTCAGGCATTTAGAGTGATTTGGGGTCGGGGTTTAGGGTTTGGGGTTTAGGGATGAAGCCTATCTCGGCAAAGCCGCTCTGAAGGATTTGAGCGACACCCTCAGCGACGGTTATGAAGGCATGTCGGCGGCGGCGACTCTTGGCGGGACAAGAACCACATCGTAACCTGTTAAAGTCCCCAAATAATGAAAGTCCGACAAACCCCAAAACCCGGTCCTACTGACCAACTCTCCGTGCCGCTCCCCCGAGCCCTTTTCTAAGAGTCCCCAGAGCTCCGGAGGTTCAGAAGGGCAAGGGAACGAACGTCCCTGAGCCCACCCTAAACCCAAACCCTAAACCCTAAATCCTAAGCCCTGAACCCGATAAACCATAAACCCTAACTTGCTTGAAGACAGGACCTTCCGAGCATCTTTCTAGATCCGATAACTCAGAGCCTGAACCCTACACCCTGGACCCGTTCGGGTTTGGGGTTTAGGGTTAAAGGGCGCGCGATTTAGAGGACAAGTGAAGACTGCTGGATTGTGGTCGTAAGTAGAGATTCAAGTCAGCTCCGTTTCCAATAAGTTCCTGCTCAGCTGCTCCAACGGTGACTTTCTCCGCCTTACCCTCCAAACCCGAAGCTCTAAATACTAAACCCTCAACCAACCCTAAACCTAAAACCCAAAAGCTAACCCGCAAACCTCTAACTCCTCCTTCGAATCTGTTAACGAGGTTTAGGGTAGCCCAAGACCCTACTTAAAGATTCATGGGACTTAGTAAACCAGGGTTATAAATAAGGTAGCTATGCCTATAAATATGTATAACCCAATTAATGTACTTATAACTAAACCTAAACCCTAAACCCTAAACCCTAAACCCTAAACCCTAACTTATAACTGTACTTACTAAGTCCCATGAACCTCCCAAGTACTCCAAGTACTCCCGAGGCGAGGGCCTGAAACTGGGACCTTGAACACTAAGCCTTGGGGTTTAGGGTTTTGGGGTTTAGGGTTTAGGGTTTAGGGTTTTAGGGTTTAGGGTTTTAGGGTTTGGTCACCAAGCTTACAATCTACGTCCCTCTCCTCATATTCTGATCATATTGTAACGAGCAGATCCCAAATCCGAAGGGCATGACACAGAACTGAACTTCTGTAGATATTACACGTGTAAACT